GTCCGGGGGAACATGGGCTTGAGTGGGGGGTGCCTCAGAAAGAGCAAGACGGCGGGTGTTTCTCTCTTGGTGTGACCGGTGGCAGTGTCGATCAGCAATGCCCCAGAGACTTTTGCGCGCCCGAATATGCGTGCGACAGCTTTAACCTAACCACTTCGATGGAAAGCGGATTTCTGTTCGATACGGTGTCGGGAGTGCCGAGGGGGGAGGGCTTGGCCCTTGTGGTTGCAGGTGGGAAGGAAGTAGGAACAAGGGGTGGCAGTGTCGGGGGTCTGGGAGAACATGGGCTTGAGTGGGGGGTGCCTCAGAAAGAGCAAGTCGGCGGATGTTTCTCTCTTTCTTGGTGTGACCGGTGGCAGTATCGATCAGCAATGCCGCACAGACTTTTGCGCGCCGAAATATGCGTGTGACAGCTTTAACTTAACCACTTCGGTGGAAAGCGGATTTCTGTTCGATACAGTGTCAGGGGTACCAGGGAAGACGGGGCCGAGTTTTGTTTGATTTCAGGTGGATGAGGTTGGGGTTTTGTTCGTTTTTCTCCATCTAAGGTTCGTGCCTAGAGTTCAGCTGTAGTGTTTCAACCAAATTTTGTTGACTTAGAGGCAAACATTCCTAGCTATTGGGCATCGAAATAATTTGGCTTGGCATGACGGCCTTTACGATCGACTTTTTATGTATGGCTGCATTTATCTGCAAGTGTCGGAGGGCAAACAAAATAATAATAATATATTACGATTGGTGATCTGCGACGTCGACGGTCTCCCATCTACTGCGAAGGCTCAACGTGCGAGATGACGAGCTGGCCGCACGCCCCCCTCCGTCGTATGTCCTTTTCATACATGCACATTATTCATGCTACAACATGGCCAGAGAACGGGGCAGGCAGTAACTGCTTGGACACAAACAAACCCCTACTTTGCCTACGCAGGTTGGTCTTTACTGCATATACTCTGGAATATTAGTATTTTTTTTCCATATTCGACTACATATTTGATTGTAACTAGTCTGTCTTTGAGTAAGTATTACGCAGGAGAAGGACAGGCACAATACAGACATACCGACAGACAGGTAGTTGTGTACGCGCCGTACATATAGTATATGTAATTGGCTCTGGATTTACGTTTTGATGAATAATCACCCACAGTACGATGGTTTTGACGTGTTTCGTATCGTTGGACATCTCGCTGATCTACGGACGTCACAAAGGCTTCGAAACAAACGTGTTTGTCTGTCTGGTTTGAGAACAAATTATTTTGTTTTGGGCCGGCTGAGGGGGGAGGGTCCAGATTTTTTTTCGTGTACCCTTGCGGTCGTACTGAAAAAAAAGTCCGTTTCGTGCGTGAAATGACCGGTCACCGAGAGATCCAAATGTTAACGCAGGAGGTGCCAATCAGGCTAAAACTTGCTGAAGTCGTCTAGAATAGTGCAGGACGAGGGATGGTCCGTTCTTCGCGCCTGAAGCCTTCGGGCAAAAAGTGCGTGCTTCGGAACTTCGGAGTGAACATGATCATTTATTCATTCATTCACATTTTTTTGTACCGTTCTGTAAGACCTCTAGAGACCGGAACGGTCCCGTAGAGGAACAGATGGCGGGCACGAAGAGAATGCATGTGAGCTTATCGTCCAGAACTCTCACAGACTGTCGGGCAAGCGAAGGTTGCCGCAATGTTCTCTGGCGGTTTCTTTCTTCACTCCCTCCTTCACGACGCCACTCATCCCCCTGCAGTCGGTGCACATTCTTGAGGTGCGAGTTGACGTTGCTGCGGTCGCCGCCTTTGCAGGGGGTCGTTTTTTTACTTCGGTGGCACGTGGAGTCGGCTAAAAAGAAAAGTATGTGTTTTGTCGCTTTCGATGCCTCAACGTACACTCCTAGCGAAAACAATATTTGTACCGATTCTCACGGGCCCCTATCCTCACAGAGCCTTTCGACACCACGATTCACCGACGGCCTTCATGACGGCCGCTTCTGCTTCCTGCAGCTCCCAGTTCTTGTTTGTGGACGGGTGCGCATGTGTCACGCCTGCATCGCTGCCTCCCGCGCACCAACTACAGTATCTCTACTTCGCCCGCGCGTCTGGTGGCTGACGTGGATGAACTGCCGTTATCCGCATCGACCGATGATCCGCTCGGAAGGTCTGCAGTGGTGAGGGAAGAGCTCATGTTCCCTCTCAAGTCCCTTTCAATGCTACACGGACAATGATCTGCTCGGAGGGTCTGCAGTGGTAGGGAAAGAGCTCATGTTCCCCTCGATGCTACACAGATGTTGTCTGGTTGTTTACAACATTCTGTTTCACAATATGTGCGCACCAGGCTTGTGTGCGTGTTCGCATTTGTACCACGTGATTCATACTCTGCAAATTCCATAGGTGAGCTTCAAGTTTGGTTGGCGGGCCTGACGTCAGACTGTGCCCACAGAATATATAAACCCGTACTCCGGGTACGGTTCCTCTAAGATCTTGTTAGTATGTGTGTTGAAGATGATGGTATCACTTGTATTAGTATAGCAGACACGATCAGGACGCGGCGGGAGAGAAAATGCCACGACACAGGAAGCACTCCCGCAGGGTCGAGCCCCGTGGATCAACCATGAAACCAACCCAGGGGACTATCGATTACTATCTGCATAGCCACTTCCTACAGTATCGTTGGAATATCCTCATCCGCTCACGCACACACGAACAGATCTCACTCCGCCACACTGAATGATTGCTTTATCATTTCAGTCGGAAGACCTCAACCACGCGCTTTTTGTGCCAAATCCCCGAGGCGCTAGAAGTTACCCCATCGGCCGTCCTGCACTACCAAAACGGGAATCGCCCAACCGCACCCAACGGACAACATTCATTTGCCCATCATCCACCACCCTCGTTATCGCTCTCGTGTTGGAACCTTTCAGCCGCCGACGCCTTCTGCTTCGCCCCGAAATCGTCCCCGCCCCACAAAGCGTCTAACGCCCTATTTCCCAACTTGGAAACCCCTGGGTGCCGTCTGTGTAGAAAGACCACCTGATGCACGATGACGACGTTTGACGTTGGAAGCAAGGGCGTGGTTGGGGTGGGGGGAGGGGGCAAGAGAAGAAATTTAAGAACTCGCCCCAACACGTAGTTGGTACGACCTCCCACCAGTTTGTGCTGACTACAAACGAGCATGGTACAATGGGTTTATGTCGTGTTTCATCAGTCGTCCTACAGGTAGAGACAGAGGTGGTGATTTCGTGGACATAAGCCGACACGTAACCGTTACGCCTGTAGTCCACACGAACAAGAGGTACAGGCTAGGATGAAGTGCAGAAAGACACCTGTCGGTATCTGTACCCTAGAAACCTCTCGACACCTACAATATGCTATTTAAATTTCAGAATTAGGGTACTGTAGCTCTAGAGGCGGTGAGCGTTCTTGAATATCGAACGTCGTGCATACCTCGTGGATGGCGTCTTGAATCTTCTCCACCATGAATCGCGTACGTGAGGTAAAGCTGGGCTCGCTCATGACCGCGACCGCCCGGCAGACCTGCTCCACGACGGCGGTGTGCCGTGCGTTGATGCGGATGCACCTTGTGCGGGTACAGTTTTTTTTCCGAAACGAAGTCAAGTAGGTAGCACCGGCCGGGGGACGGGAGGTCAACCAATCGCGCGAGTACATGAACAAACGCCATGAGCAAACCACGATACTTGTGTTGGAGAAAATGGACGAAGGGCATAGTCACTTTACCGCACGTACCTGTGCAGGACCTGGCAGCCGGCGTTGATGATGAAAATGTCCGACACCCTGGCCTCAAGCGCATGCAGATCGATCAAACAAACGAGACAGATCCACAGCAAGGGTGCCACGGCCTGGTGAAGGTCCATTGCCTGAGCCAAGAGTGACGCCTGCTGATCAAGTTTATTCCCCCGGTGGAGCGCTTCTGAAACGCGGTTGTCGGACAATCTCTCCGCGACATCTTTGGTCATGTGCCCCGCCGGTGGATCCTTCGGCGATTGTTCCCGCCGTGCGATGCGAATGACGGAATGCATGGCCTGGTCGTTGGCAAACGTCGGTTGTATGTTCTGAAGATGGGGATGAGGGGACCTGACGCCCGACGACAAGTCTCCATGCTCTGGATCATACACGAAGACGTGACTTGCGAAAGGAGAAGCACGACACCCGCTAGACGACTATTAATAGTGCTCGAGAGCCTTGTAGAGAAAAGCTACTGTGTTCGGCGAAACTCCGGCCGTATTGTCCCCGCTTCAGCCGTCCTCTGGTGCTGAAAAGATACACCTGCGTTGGGCGGCCTTGTCTAATCGGCTATTGAGCTCTTGCTGCCGGTACGCCAGACGAGATACTCCGGAATCAGATATACTAAGCTCCGACAATTCAGTACGGGGCATGTCTTCGTTGCCCCCGGTACCAAACTTAAATTAGCACTACAAGCGTACGGAAGCAACGATGACCTCAAATGTTATCCACGAAAATTCTCGTTTGGCGCCACGCAAATGTATACACAAGATGTTTGAGATAGAGAAGAACGCGCTCAGGAAACCCGATTACTTCGTTGTCTTGCCTGCCAAGCAGCCAGGAGTAGAGCGGCATCGTGAATGTGATGGGTCATGGCAGAAATCAGGATCTCCACTCCCTGCCATTGCGAGACAACGCGTGTGTTCTCTGTGATGCACATGGTACAATAGTATCATAGTTCATCCGGCGCGCACAAAACCGGCCGCCTATAAGTATTGAGCACACAACGAACTTGAGCAAGTATTTCAACGCGTAGTGTAACAACTTGATATCTTACAACGATGCCTGGTTAAGAACCTTACGCTCCGAAACCAACAAGTTCGGTGTTGATTGGACTACTCCACACAGCAATCGAGCTGCGAATCTCATGTGAATGATGAAATTTATTCGGAGGTTTGATTCTGAAACTCCTCAAGAATGCACGCAATATCCCGCACCTCATGGAAACCAACCTTTGGTGCAGTAAGTCCTGATCGCAGAAATATTCAAAATAAATTTTTTATTGGCCAGGGCAGGTGTCCCGCAGCAAAGCGATACGCCACTACTCCATTGCACCTTTTCTTTGTCGGTCTTCAGGCAATGGGCCTAGTTGCTCCAAAAGCCCCGTGCATCGGCCTCGAAGAAACGAACGTACAGTACACTACAAACCACCACGCATATCGTCACCGCAAGAAATGTGTAGCATTACCCCCCCCGGCATGCATCCACGAATGGATTGAAATTTGACCTGATCGTCGCAAAATTCTTCGACACAACAAGCGAGCGACTCCTCCTCCTCCGCATCCTCCTCCGCATCTTCCTCCGCTTCATCCTCCTGCTGAGCTTCCTCCTTCTCCCTCTCCTCTTTTCCTTGTCTGCCGTCGCACTTCCTCCTCTGCCCCCGGCCCCGTCTCCAGTCTGTAAGCAACGCTCTCACGAGATTGAATGCACTCGCAGCCACCCGCGCAGCTCCCGCACGTTGAACGATAGTGCGGGAATCGTCTCGACTATACGCGTCTGCCACACTCAACGCGAACGCGATAGTCCCCGTTCCTCTCCGCTCCCCCCCTCCCTCTCCCGTGCTGAAGTTTTCATTGGCCAGGTCGTCTCTTCTAGAACAACTCGGACTCATAGCGTCCGAGCTCCGTGCAGCAGCGTCAACGTCATTGCGGTCTTCCTCCAGCGGGTGGTCGTCCACTGATGATGCAGCGGGAGTGTTCGATTCTTCGTTGAGATATTCGACACCCGGAAAACCAACCGGGTTGACTGTCGTTATCGTGGAGAGACTTTCCCTGGAATCGTCCGCTCCGTCACCATCACGAGTGTGGCAGTGTTGATCTGACAGAATCAGGGCATTCTGCACGCGAGATCGCCCGTCCTTCGTGCCACCGGTGCAGCACCGGAGGGCGATCGTTTCCAGTGTTCGCATGCCAGCCACCAGCACCTCTTCCGAGCTGGGATGCCTGTTGAACGGAGGTGTTTCGATATCGATGTGGTAAATCTTCAGTCCAAATGCTACCCCTGCTGCTTGGATATCTTGGGTACGAGTCCGCTCCATGGACCTCTGCGGGTACGTTTGTGTCGAACGCCACCGAACAGTATTTTCCTTTGGTACACACTTGTGGTACAGTACCATGGACCTAAACTATGCCCAAACCAAACCGTTTGTCTGCTCTTCAACGAGACCACTGTTCTTTGCTTAGATTCTGACAAGCGATCCCAAAGCGTGGAGCACAAACGAAAATATGTCTCGGCGATGTTCAACGAGGTTTTATGGAAGGAAGTCAGCGCTGCTGTCATCTCGTGACAGGGAATTACTTCACTGGCGTGCCGCACACCGAACGACCTCGCGTTCTACTTTACGGCTGAACCCGGCAAGGAAAGCGCTGGCCTCCAAGACGCTGGATAGCTTGTTCCCAAGAATGTTGTTGTCTTCTACATAGAGAGGCTAAGGTTGTTGACGTGCCGACACTGGTACACCGTGGCACGGGGTTGGTGAATGCAACAACCCAACAAACCTATCACCATCAACCTAGTTACCGTCGCAAAGCTCGTCCCGCCGCAAGATGCGCACCGGCGTTCAACACGCGTTCCAGGAAGTCTTGGTTGTTGGACGGAAGGGCCGCGACGACGGCGCAGAGCGCCTCGCAGCCGCACAACTGCACGTGCCAGTCATGTCGGAACAGCCCCAAGGTATTGACGATCGTTTCAAGGGCACTGGCTTCGACGAATGCCTGGGGTGAATTTCGCACATGTTGCTGTTGTTGTTGGTAGTGGTAGTTGCTATGTTGGTGTTGCTACTGTTGCTGTCGCTACTCTTTCCACATCGACGAGCCTCAACCAAGTTCAAACGTGTCAGAAAGGATTCGTGTTATGCTTCAAGGAATCGTCTCCCCGGTGTCTTCTATCTAGTGTGTTTCGCCTTGTGCTATGGAAGCTAAGCATCAGTTCTCAGGAGTATTCAGCCAGTCTCTTAATGCAATCTTGAATCAGGTATTGGCCTGGATTAGAGTATTCTGTGCGGTCTGCCGTAAGCGTTGAGCCCCCCTCTCCATCTTGAAATCATTTTTCGCCGAACCTCATTCCCAGTCGACACCGAGCTCATCACCCAGCGACACACAGTTTGGCCCTACCTTGACGATGTTTCCCCAACCTCTTACAACCGTTGTCTACCATGGCAACGATTATTCCAAAGTCAAAGTTGCCTGAAGAACGGAGGGGGTACATTCTCAAACGCAAGTTTCGATAAAATAGCAAAGCACTTTCTAAAACTTCAAGAAGAATATAAGAACACCGCCACTGGCCCCCCAAACATTGCGATAGCACCTCGGCACAGCTTGAAACTGCCAGGCAGGTGTCGACAACGAGCTTGAGACCCCTCTCTTGCACGAGCACACTTTCCGAGCACTCTCTCATCCCCGTCACGATGGCCTGCACCCCCCCCCTGGTTGCCTGCAGCTGTCGACACCTCTGATACATTTGTTTGTTCGTCACGAGGTGGAACGAGAGTGAACAACAAACACGTCATCCGGTTGGGTGGTGAACTCTTGCATAGTAGCGGGGGGGGTTGCCATACTAGAAACCAGTACAAGTACTTCAAAATGGAAATAATGGAATGGCAAGAAAGGTCACACAGTGTAGCTTACGGCGCCAGCACTTGTGAAAACGGCGGTGTTGGGTAGGGCGGAAGGAACGGTCGACTGCCTCTCAAACAATCACCGCTCGCCCAAACGATACTTGTACCTACCTCAGGACGACGGTGCACGTGGAGGACGAGCGTGCTCATGCACTGCTCCACGACGCAGGCGTCCTTCCTCTGCCATGTGTTCGTCCTGTTGTTCTTATCGAGAACCTGGCACATCGTGTCGATGCAGCCGCTCTGCGGGTGGCGAAGAATGAAAGGGCGGGATAAAATCAAGGCCGCAAACGTCATGTCTAGTACGGCAGCAACGCGCGATAGCCACAACTTTGTATCACGACGAACCGGCCCCAATTTTGAACTCATGATCTACAGAACGCGCCAGGGTGGCTGATGCCGAAGTAGTCGGTGCTAATTCCTGACCTTTGTCTCCTGTTGGTCCTCAGGGAGGAGAAGGGAATTGCCTCCGGGAAACACAAGTGACAGCATGGTTCATTTTATCACGAGCAAACAAGCCTTACAAGATGACGCCTCACACGTTTTTTTGTACGAGAACGCGGTTGACTATCATTATCATTGACAGATAGACCTCACCTGAATCTGCATCATCTTTTTTCTTGGCACGAAATGAAAACTGGGGTCGTCGAACTGGCGGGCGTGTGCATCCTGGGCCGAGTCCATGGCGCGGAGTTTCTTGAACAGCAGCGCCACACACACGCGTGATCTCTGATTCTCATCCAACAACAAAGATGCATAAAATGTTAGGATGATCCGAACTGGGGGTAGCTTGTCGCAAGACGTGTGTTGAATAGGGTGTCGGCAACTCGGCGAGCTCGCGCCAAGGAGGAAAGACGTGTAGGGTTTGTTGCATAAACTTCTTCTTCACATGAACTCACATGAACT